CTAATAAAGATAAAAATCTGGACACAAGCAGCGCTCAGCCCAGCTGTGCTTTCTCAGCCTGGCTTAGACAATCTTGCGCTTTAGTTTGGCTTCCTGGATCCCATCTCAGGTTTACATGGGCTGATCTAGGACTGGACCCACCAGCAGCATCATGCTCTCAGCAGAGCACAAGGGGCGAGTTCATTTATGACCCAAATTAATTTTTTAATTCTATGTTTGCTATATGATATTCTTGTCTCCCACCAAAGCCTATTAACTATGGAGAAAGGCTGGGGAACGCTTATTCTCTGGTGTGAATTCACAACCGCTTCGGCTTCCCTCTGACACACCAGCTCAAGCGTGGCTCCTTCCCTTTGAGGCCTCTGCTAATCCCCTGGCTTCGACCGACTCTGCTCCTGTCTCGACTGTCTGCCCGGGAACAGGGTCCCCGCGACAGACTCTGCTATCTCCCCGACTGCTCTCTCACGCTCGATTCTTTGCACAAGGACCCCAACCTAAACTTTGTTTAATTTTAACCGATGCTCCTTCCCGTGCTGCCGCACCAGAGCCCCTCTGGAGCCGATGCTTTCGGAACAGCTGGATTGGAAAGAGGTGAGGTGGGGGGGAAGGGTAGGATAGCAGAGACAGGAAAAATAAAACAAATACAATTGCTTTTTGTCTCTAAAACCCTCTTTTTAACCCAATGAGCGTCTCAGCCAATGAAGCATGATGAGCGTGAAGTGTTATATAAAGAAGATAATTATAAAGGGATTTAATGCTTGGCAGGCTCGTATCGCAAGGTTTATAGCAGAGGTAGCATACTCACTTAAACAGCCTTGTGTCCCGGTTTGCTATTATACGGGCAGCGCCGCTGGGGCCAAGCGGAATCAGAAACAAGATTTGTTTTACGAAAAAAAGGAGCACAGCCCCCTTCCCACTGAGAATGGCAGCTCCAGTCCCACCTCCTTCCAATTCTGTCCCATCCCTGATTAATGATGTTGTCTGCCTGATTTATGACCCACCCCAACAGATTAGAGTTTCCCTCTTCAACCTCCCCCCCTCCCCACCCCCCCCAGAAGGCACAACCACACTCCGCTGGAAATATTAGAGAATTATTAAATAAACATTCATACGTCATGTCTCTTCCCATACTGAGCTCATCGTAGTCAACGCTCAGCGGCCGGGCCCTGTTTGCTTTGGGGCTGACACCAAACAGCTGGAGTGATTCATGGAGAGGCTGGCTACAATGCTCTGTGCCATATATCATGCTTGCAGCGCTCCCTGCCCCGGCGGAGATAAACTGATCAACCACAACGGGCTGGAATGAATTTATGACAACACAAAATTGAGGAAAACAAATGGGAGGTGACCCAGTGGGCCACTAACCCAGACTCTCTCGCTGGCCTGCAATCTAGTCTGGTGGCAGAAAGCAAAATTGAACATTGGCACTCTGAATTAAGATGCTGGCTTTTAACCCCAGGGAACCTCGGTTTCAAAATGGCACCAGACCCTCACGGGCAGCATCTCAGGAGGGAGGAGGGAGGAAGACTTTTTGCGGGGAAGGTGCTTTTTGCAGCTCTCTGTGGATGACGGTGCTTTGGCTGAGAGTACGATGCTGATGGAGGAGTCAAGGAGGATGCCTGGGCAATCAGGGACCAGCTGCTTTCTCCCAGCAAAGCTGCACCTTGAGTAGATGAGGGCCATGAGCCTTCAGCACTCCAGGGGGTCTCCCAGCCACTTCACACTGGCTAGATGAGAAATGCTCAGCAGGGCTGAGACACCCCACAGTGCTGGGAAGGAGAGGTGGGACCAGTACCAGCTCTCTCCTTACCTGTGGCTGTCATCTGAAGTTCAGCACAACACAGATGAGGTCAACAGTGAGAAACCCACCCAAGCTATCAAGGAGCTGGCATGGCTGCGAAGGAGAGCTGGGATCAACACCATGTCTCTTATGACCTGTGGCTGCCACCTGAAGTTCAACACAACGCAGATGAGGTCAACCTGCCTAAGCCACTGATGACCTGGCATGGCACAAGGAGCAGGGCAACAAACACAGACTTGCCCTAAACCCCATCTGGTCATTCTACATGCAAGAAAATTTTCTCCATGAAAACCTGAATTTAGATTAAATTAACTTGCTCAAGCAAAGAGCTTCAACTGCTTGCCAAGAGGAGGACCACTTGCTGTACTGTACTAATGGATTGAAATACAAAACAAAACCACACCGCTCGCCTTGCCTAGACTTATTTTTGGAAGAGGGGAAGAGGAAGGAACATTATTCTTATGAGAAAAGGATCAATACGTGGATCACTGCTAACTCTATTAGCTGATGCTCTAAACAGAGAGCGTGGCAGACACAGGTGGTAAGCCATGTGCTTCTGGACAGTTTTAAAAATGCTAATCAGATGCTACACTGGGTTTAACATGGCAATCAATAACGCTCAGATTTAAAGGCAAAAATTAAAGTTACAAACAATGGAGTAAAGTGATGCTGCCAAAAACTTCCTGTAAGCGCCACCCAAAACAAGAAAAATGAAACCAATTTAGCTCCAGATTAAGAAACAGGAACTAGAGATGAATCAATTTAGCTTGTTGGGCTGGGTTGCCATATATCATGGCTGAGCAGTGCAGTGGGAAGCAGCCAGACAGTGTGAAACCCTTCCCCCTCCTTTTCTGTAGGCTTGTAGCTCTGATCCCTGTTATCAATTAATTTAACAGAACCCCTCTACACAGACAAGCACACAGAGCATTCAGACTCCTTAAATGGCAGCACAGAAACTATTTATCACACACGAATCTCAAAGGAAAGAAAGAGAGGGGAAAAAGAAAAAAAGCAGCTAGGAATTCTCCACCTGAAACACCATCTTGCCTTCTGAACCTTGGTGAAATAAAGCACCTTAAATGAAAAGCACTCCCTGCTACTTCTGAAAAATCAACATTATTGGAAAGACTCAGCAAGACACTTAAGGTTTTTCCCGTAATTTCTACTGGGTTTTGCTGTCTTTTTGCACCTTTTGCAGGACTGAAGCTCTAGTAGGGCAAGGTTACTGCAGAGCAAGGTGTGCTTGCATACACTTGCAGGCACATACACTCTCCCCCCACTTCACAGCGGTGTTAGCATGAGTGTTGTTTGGAAAGGATTCTGGGATCCTTCAAAAGGTGCTAGCTAAAGCCTCTTCGATCAGATTATTAAAGCTATGTCAATTTTATCACTTGAGCTCAAGTGTTCTGGAAAATGTCAAATCCTTTCAGCTCCTGCAGTTTAAAGATTTTCAATAGGAGTGGATCTGGGCGGGTGGAGGGCTGCTGGGCTGACAGACAGGAGGCCCAAAGGGAAGCCAAGCAGCGGCTGAGACAGAGGCTGACAGATTAGGCCAGAAGGGATGAGACCTTGCCACCAAGACAGCACGCAACGGCTGGCTCACTCTAAGGACAAAGCTGCTTCTGCACTGAGCTGCAAGCTCCCAAACTCATTGGGGTCCTTGGCCAAAGTCTGCTCACCAGGAAGCATCGAACAGCAGACAGCCCACGTTTGGGACACGCTAATAAGCCTTGTAAGAAAGAAAGTGCTGAGACAGCAAAAGAATGTTAAAGTTTCCTCTGCAGCAGGGAGTTTCCCCAGTTGACCCCTGACTATGAACATACACTTTGCCAGGCTGCCTGAACTGTCAGAGATCCTGAAATGTGCCAGGGACACAACCTCTCAAGTCAGGACCAGGGGCAGGAGGACAACAAAGTACATTAAAAAACCCACAAACTTTCTCTAAAGTCAGCCTAATGCTACCACCAGATTTTTTCCCCATCCCAAATTATCAATGGACCTCATCCCCAAAATGCAAATGCCATCTGTTTAAAACCCACAATTACCTCATTGCTTGCACCTCATTCAAGCTGTTTTGTATCTCACTTGATCTTGGGGCAACACCTTATGTCAGGCAATAATCAACACACTGCCCCACCCCAATTAATGCAGTGCATGGCAGCAGTGAAGAGCCTGTAGTTTTAGGTTTGCATTGTCAAATCTGCCTCAGCAGTAAGTCTACCTAGCAGCATGTTGAAGGATGCTGAGGGCAGAGGTGGTTACTCAAATGCACGGTGCAGATAAAACCATGTGTTTCTACCCTGGACTAGGCTGCAGGATATCCAGCGAGCAGAAAGAGACAGGCAAGGAGATGGCCAGGCGTCCCGGTACTATTGTATATTCAAACACCGGGACTTAAACTTCTGAATCAGTTGGAAGAGCCGCAGGTAAAAAAATGAGGAACTGAGACATTATCTCCGTTATCAACCATACAAAGGTGAAACCTGGATCTTAAGGGAAAAGAAATTCTCCTAGTGAGGCTTCTGCCAAGTTACGGGGCTGCTAGGATTCCCTTTTGCTGGAGAGATGGAAGGTGGAACATGTAGGTATCATGGAATAAACAGAATAGAGACCACAGGAAGGACTGCCCTCAAAACCAAGATGCAATGATAAGGTAAATTCTCCAGTCAACGTATGATCCCACGATACACTGATAGCAGAAATCTTGCAGGGGGAATTAAAAAAAAGTCAAAGTACAGCTTGACAAGCCAATTGCTTTTGTCAGGTTAAAGTGGGTTTGAATCTTCACCTCCTGTCCAAAGTCCCAGCTCCAGTCTAGGCTGTTACGCACCACAACATATCTGAAAAACTAACCATAACAAGAACATGGTGGAAAGCACGGATATATCTATTTAAATATTTTAAAAGAAGGCAATCTGCAATGGAGAAGCCCTTTGGAAGCTGTGCTTACTACCTTGTCACTGGGTTCCTGGCCACGCAGATATGTCGGGGAGAAGGCCCCACAGGCCCCCTGCGGACACAGCAAGTCAGGACACCAACAGCTCCAAGTCCCCGGTTCATGTCGGAGCACAACTTCCCATCTCAGTGGTAAAAGCTTCAAATACGCCTACCCTCAGACTAGCACTGCTTCTAGGAACACCAGATGGACACTATGGTTCCTCAAAACAAGAAAAACGAAAGCTATCCACTTCATACTCACTTTTCAATGTCACTGTTCTTACAGGTCTTCTGCATGGTCTCCTGTTTACTGCTTTCACCATTACTCGTTGAGGGCATTTCTGTTGAGGGAAGAACAGACAAATTACTAAGAGAACATTTGATCACTGCAACGAAATAGTCTGAGCGAGTTACAGTTTCAGAAGCAGAGGACCCCGATGAGTCATTTTCATGTCATTTCTTGGAAAGAGAGAGAAGAGACCGATGCTACGTGTCCCTGTCTGGCAGGGAGGCCCTCTCTCTGTACAGCTTGCTTCTATGATTCGGGCCTGAAAATAACGACTGACCCTTGCAGGTGTTCCAGCTGTTTAAGCTAGGATTTAATTCAGAAAGGTCTGATGCAACTGTCACACCAAAGTGTACTTCTAGAAAGGTGGATCTGGAGGAAACCCACCCAGCCCAGATCCTGTCCTCAGCTTTTCCCTTTTTCTAAGACCCCTCAGACACAGACAGGGAGAAAAATAACTACCAGGTAACTAGTATGACAGAACAGTCTGCTCATAGCTCTCCTCTACCAGCAGCTCCATGACTCCTCCCAGCACTGGAGGGGATGCGAGATACCTGTTGGAGATGAGCCAACTGTCCTAGGGCCAGCCCCTGGGCTGTAGGTTCAGCACTGTGGCTTTAGGTAAAAGGTATAAAGAAAACAGCTCATAGCAAGTGCCATCAGGGCTGCTTCCTCATCACCTCTGTGGCTGTAGTTACTGAAGCTGAACACACCTACAAGCGAGTGCTCCCACATCACAAAAAATAAATGTGATTGCCTATCCCACAGAAGAAAATGCCTGTGATAGATATCCTATGTTCTCCATTTAATCATCATGCCCTTGGCAAAAGTGGTTCTACCCACCCCCACTCGCAAGCATCTATGTCTTGTAGGTACTTTCAAGGCTGGGAATCAAATGCCCAAAGCATTACAGTAACAGAACAGGGAACAAAATCATTGGGACAAGTCTCTTCAGGTCGCTGAGCTTCAGTTCCCTTCCTAAGGGAGCTAAAGCAGCACTGCCCAGCTCTGGAAATGGATTTGGCATCTACAGCTGGAAAGCGCCAGGTTTTATTATTCTCATATTTCCACTAGGTTGCTGCTTACACTTCCAGTGCTGCTGGCATTAAATAAAAACCCCAGCAGTTGAATGGGTTTAACACCACTCCCCTCCTTAATGCTATGAGCTTTCAAATAATGCATGTAAAGGTACAATTTCACTTTCACTCATTTGCTCTGGAGTCTCACCTACAGGTCATGAAATAGGACAGCTCCTAGAATACCCACTCTAAAGGTTCCGGTTTCAGAGCTGCAGGCTCTTCTTGCCATACGGAGGCCAGCAAGGACAAGATCTGCCCAACAGATCATGATACAAGTCTATAGCATAACCTTTTAAAGAATGGAAGATGGTAAGACACCAGTTGAAAAAAACTCAAGCAACGGGTGCCTGCACAGTTTAAACCCTCGGCAGCTGAACACCACCATCACATAGTCAAGCTCTGATGGCTCCCTCTGTGATACAGCAATTTGTCTTTTAGTGACACAACAGCAAGTCAGCCCAATCCCTACTTCTTATCATCAAACCAGTTAAGGTTGCATTCTTGGCAACTCCTCCCGCTGCCACTAACTATAGTGAATTGTGCTGTGAAATCCAAAAAGCTAGTGTGATTGTATGTGCATACATATGTGCTGGTACTGTGTAAGAGCATTGGTAACTACCATTTGCCTAATTACTGGCAATCAGAAGATAAGGAATATCTATCTGCTCTTCTGTAGCACAAAAATCCGTAATTTACAAGTTCAACACTCACCATCGCTGGCCCATTTAGAAAACTCCGGTGTTATTCGAGTACTGGGTGTGCCACCACTACAAGAGAAAAGGGCAGAATGCTAAAGGTTGAATCAGGAAAATTTGCTGCTCAGGAAGAGCCGCCCCTTCCACCCACCACTTCTGTCTCAATACTTCTACCCATCAGTCTAGGCTTCAAAACATGAGCGGCTGGAGCGCTGCAGGAGGTGTTTTAGTGCTAGTCCACATTTCCACCAGTGTTCTCCCAGCCTGCACTTCCAGCTGTGACCTCTGCTGAATCACACCAGGGTTGTGATGCTGACTGAAGGCTTGGAATCAAACAGTACCTGTGACCTAAGGCTCATTTTTGAATACACAATTTCAAAGATGAAAACTTTACCCATGAACAGATATCCTGTGTTGCAATAGCTTCTCCCTTTCAGAGTAACTTTAAACCTTCAAGAGCCCCATCTACTCCATTTTCCCATGTGAAGTACAGACAACTCCTAACCCTGTCCCTTCTCTTGCAAGCCAGTAACAGAGACTGGAAGAGAAAGGAATCTTCTGAGCAGGCTGCACACCCGTGACGATATAACATTTTAGCTCTATGAGCTAAGACAGTTGCACTCAAAAGGCAGCGCAGGCTCACGCTTCAGGGCATCAGCTACCCTACGGCATTTCTACAGAAACTTGCCAGAATTTCAAAGTGCTTTCAGAGGCGACGTCATCTCTCCTGTTTTAGAGATGGAGAAACAAGTCCAAGAGATGTGCAAGGACCTTGCCCAAACAGCAAAACAATGTGTTAGGTGCAAGCCACAGGAGGGAACTGGCTCTCCCAGCCTCAGGTCCTCAGCTGTCTCACCAAGCCCTAAGCGTCCACAGCCACTGATACTCCAACTGGGATACCCCAATACCCTCCCACTACAATACCACTTTCCTGGTCGTGAAGGAGCTTCAGCATCTTTGAGGCTCTGCCTATAAGCTAGCACAGTTAGCAGAGCATTGAACGGACCAATGGTTTGGATCCAGTGTGGCAAATGCCACTTTTCTATGGAGAGAAACCTAATTTTGAACTAGTGTTTGTGACAGGCTAAACAGTAAGAAAACTTCATTCCACAGCTACATCAATCACTTCAACCTTGATCTCACAGAATCACTCAGTGAAAGAGATAGAGGGGTAATTTAAGCCCTGTTTTACGCAGGGCAGAGGGCCTAGAAAGCAATCGTACCTCCCTGTTAAAACTCATTTTATTTGCCTGAAATGCTTCCACAAGTGCCCTGAACCCTGGCTGCCTACATTCTTCGCATAGATACGTGGGCAGAGCACATGTCCTGCCCCAACTCCAGAGCCAAAGGCAGAAGGATTAGTTTGTGTACCGTCCAACCCATAATGGGATGCAATGAAATCATACCCCAGGTGCCAGACAAGATTCGGATGGCACCGTGTTACACTACTACTAACAGGCCATGGTTCAGCATGAAGTAAGATGATGCATAAGGCCTTAGAACAGCACAGTTTCCCCATTGCCAGAATTCACCTTCTGTCCAGCGCTGGTCAGGAAGAAGACGGCACTGGCTGGGCAGGGGGGTGGTTAAGGGACAGAAATTGTGCAGGGAGGCTTTATGAGGCTGCACAGATAGAAATGGAGACCTATTCATCACACTGTGCTTCTTTGCAAGTCTCTCTCGTTGCGACCCTTGCGCTCCAGTGAACGCGTATTTTCCACAAATTGAGATTCCCGAAAAGCAATGAATGCAAATTAGAAAGGCAAAATACTTACTTCAAGACAGCACCTCGGAGTGCCTCCCTCTCTTTGGCTTCACCTGGCTCTTCCCCAGTGCAAGGGATAACGTCCGCCTCTGTGTACCTGAGCACGAGGGGTTAAGGAACGTACAGCCTTGCTGCAGACAGCTTTTGAGACGGTTGGGACACTACTTGGGATACAGAACAAACTCATTCCAACTGGGAACACCTCAAAAGAAGAGGGGCTGGTATCCATGGAGGAGTTTGCTTTTAAATCCTGGATTAAAGCTTTGTTTTACATGGAAAGAAACAGGAAAGTCTTTTGACAGCAACATGACACCACAGCCTCTTAGAAGGGGAAAACCAGTTCCTCAACCTCTGCAAGCCTAACTTGCACAATTCCACGATTTCTGCTGAAAGTACAGAGACCTTATTCCAGATAAGGGTTGGGGCTTCAGTCTTAAAAGGCTGGTACAGATTTCAATAAAACCTATGAAAGCTACGCATTCCCCCTCACCACAGCTAAGTCAATATTGCCTAATACCTCTGCAGGAATTCCTCCTTGATGGCTGTGTAGCTGCTGCAGGGCAGAAGTCTGCCCACAGCTCTCCCAGAGCCTGGCTCGCAGATGGAAAAGTTCCCAAAAACTACCCTTCATGATAGTTCTGCCCACGGACTGCCTAATGAAAGGAAAAAAATTCAATCTCCCTAAGTGGCAGGTGAATAGTGATGGAAATGCTTACTGCACAAAACCCCTGAAAACAAAGGGGTGTCTTGTGGAAAATAAACTCAATTCCTACTCATGAAGCAGGAAAAGCTGTCTTTATGGAAGAAACCTGGATGGAGACAAGAGATTGCTTATGAAACAGAATAGAGAAACACTAACTTTGATCTCCTGCAATGTCTCCTGCAGACTTCACCAACCAGGTCTGAGGTAGTGCTGCATCAACAGCAGGATCTCAAAGGCAGCAACTGGGAATCCCTCCTAGTTCAAATAACACGGGAACTGGGGAAGGCGGTGCCATTTCCAGTAGGGTTGGACATAGATTATCCACCACTACCCAGGACAGTGAATGAAATCTAGCTGAAGACGCAACTCCAGGTTCCCTCTCAATAACAGCCTTTCAAAAACGATACTGTGGTTTCCCGTATTCAAGTGTGTCGTCCCCATCAACATCCAGGTCAGCGTCACTGTCTGGATTCTCCTTGCCGCTGCACATGATAAACCCAGAACCTGGAAGAAAATAAAACACATGGATGAGTATTTGAACGGGAGAAGAAATGAAAGAGATCTCCTAAAGCTGGTGGGACAGCACGAGGCTGCAGGCTGTCCTTTATTCTTAACAGCCTCACAAAAGGTACCATCTCTGAAGAGTGCAGATGGACAATTTTCTGAAGACCGCACAGAAAACACTCATAGAAATGGAGACTGGATTTTATGCTCTAAAATGCCCCTCAACACTGAAAATGAAACATTCTCAACTTTTGCTCTCCACATGAGTTATCTGAAAGTTGAAGGCACCGCAAGTGTCTCTCTCAAAGGCAGAAATGGAAGCAAAATAGACAAAACTGATTTTTCACAGAAGTGATTAACACAAAAACTACACTACTAGCAGATAACAGAGGGCCACAGGGATGTTCTGAATTAGTCCCTACTTGAGGTGTAGAGGACAGGCAGAGGCTAAAATATAATTAGAAATATGTTCCTTTTTAATGCATTTAGTCATAGCTTAGATTTTTACAACATAAAATGCTTAAGAAAAGCAAACCTCCTCCTAGCAAAAGATCAGACTCCGCAGTCACTAACAGCCCCTTACAAGCAGTTCTTATGTGAGCAAATCCCAGTGCAAGCCAACAAGAGTCCTGCGCTTCCAGCAAGGGTGGATCAGGCACAAGCCCAGTCCCAGTTTCAGCAG